AATTTCAACCCTTCTACGCTCGATAAAAGACTTAGCGTACAAGCTAACGTTGGGAACTTTTCAGACATCATTTCTCTCGCCTAAATGAAGGTATTTAGCAATTTATAGCTTGGTCGGAATTTCTTCATTTTTATGCCCTTTTTTGTTCCAAAGTGACTGGACTATGAGCAATGTTTAAGAGAATAAAGTACTCGGCACGGGCGTCGATCCGCATAAACGAATCATTTTTCACACTTCAGTGTGAGCAACAAATTCAGATGTTGTCATATTTCGATAGTGCATGTTACGAGGAACATTTCGATACCAAATACATACGAACGACAATTTCTCTGAGCAATGTTTAAAGAGAATAAAGTTTTCAGCACGGGCGCCGAACCGCATAAACGAATCATTTTTCACACTTCAGTATGAGCAACAAATTCAGATATTGTCGTATTTCGATAGTGCATGTTACGAGGAACATTTCGATACCAAATACATACGAACGACAATTTCTCTGAGCAATGTTTAAAGAGAATAAAGTTTTCAGCACGGGCGCCGAACCGCATAAACGAATCATTTTTCACACTTCAGTGTGAGCAACAAATTCAGATATTGTCGTATTTCGATAGTGCATGTTACGAGGAACATTTCGATACCAAATACATACGAACGACAGCTTCTCTGAGCAATGTTTAAGAGAATAAAGTTCTCGGCACGGGCGCCGATCCGCATAAACAAATCATTTTTCACGCTTCAGAGTGAGCAACAAATTCAGATGTTGTCATATTTCGATAGTGCATGTTACGAGGAACATTTCGATACCAAATACATACGAACGACAACTTCTCTGAGCAATGTTTAAGAGAATAAAGTTCTCGGCACGGGCGCCGATCCGCATAAACAAATCATTTTTCACGCTTCAGAGTGAGCAACAAATTCAGATGTTGTCATATTTCGATAGTGCATGTTACGAGGAACATTTCGATACCAAATACATACGAACGACAATTTCTCTGAGCAATGTTTAAAGAGAATAAAGTTTTCAGCACGGGCGCCGAACCGCATAAACGAATCATTTTTCACACTTCAGTATGAGCAACAAATTCAGATATTGTCGTATTTCGATAGTGCATGTTACGAGGAACATTTCGATACCAAATATATACGAACGACAACTTCTCTGAGCAATGTTTAAAGAGAATAAAGTTTTCAGCACGGGCGCCGATCCGTATAAACAAATCATTTTTCACGCTTCAGAGTGAGCAACAAATTTATATGTTGTCATATTTCGATGGTGTATATTACGAGGAATATTTTTATAGCGACAACATGCAACCAATTCTTTTATCAAGATTTAAGATCTTATAATGCACGGCGTGCGGGAACGATTGGGATAAACTAATTGTTTTTCATGTCATAGTTAGCAACAAATTCGAATATTGATAGTATATGATGTGTAGAAAAATTTGGCTACAAATTCATTGAGCAACAAATTCTGTGCATAAATCGTCAGTCTTTCTCTTCCCGAATTATTGACGAATAATGCAATATGTGAAAAACTGGGCGAGAGAGAGAGAGAGAGAGGGAGAGAGAGAAAGAATCGCGGAAAGATCTCTGCTGGCTTGGCTCGTGTCTACCGTCGACGCGCCGGCCCGCCGCGAATCTTTCTTCTTTGTAGTGGAACAAGCACCGACGGATTGATAGTCTGTCTTTGTCTGTCTAACGGTTCGATAAACATGGACATAGGGAAGATTCGAACCAAAAAATCATGGACATAGGGAAGATTCGAACCAAAAAGTCGTGGTGTATCGACAGTGTCGAAAATGTGTTACGTAGTTCACATCATTTTATAAAAATGATGTTGGTGCCGCTAGCGTACGGCGGCTTCGCCTGTCACGCGAAAAAGGCCGCCATGGCCTCTCTCAGGTTTCTCTCTGGTACCACTGTTCGATCAGATTAGAAATCCAGCCATTTGTCGTAAACACCCCTTATTCTTCTTAAAAAGTATAAAATAAGTAAATAATAAATTCTTCTTCCTGTCGAAGTTTTCACCTTATTATACTTTTAAGAATTCAATTATAATTAAAAACTAACTTCGAAAGAAAAGGGCACTAGGAGTCAAGCGCAGATAACTTCACGCAACGCCGATATATATCAAGCAAATCTATTTATTACAAACAATTAAGCTTACATGTTTCGGCTCATTTTTGAGCCTTCTTCAAAGACAATAAAAATTACATAAATAAATTATAATTTAAAAATAACAAAGTATAAAAAGATGTTTAAACATAGTGAGCTACCTCACAACCAAGAAATAAATTCTGATGACAATTTCATCTTAAAGAACACAATCAAATGAATAAAAAAAAAGAAAGGCAAGAAATAAATAGAGAGCTGAAATTCTGGGAAAATAATTTTCTAGAATCTCTCTCAGAAAAATAATAATTTCCAAATTAAATTTATCATAATTACAATCATTTTACCGGGAGTGAGGAAACTCACCATGTTCACAACGATACTGTATCGCAAACAATCTCAAGACAGATCTTCAGAATAATTTAGGCCAATCAGTTTCAGACACAGTGAGTCACAACAAATATTTTGACAGTATTAAATTAAATTATCAAATCACAATATCAAATGCTAAGACTCAACCACTGTGCACAAGCGAGACTGACTAGACAGACGTGACAGACAACAAAGCTATTTATATCCTGTCTATGATCGGGAAGTAGACCTTGGGAAGCCCCTCCATGTCTGTCTGTAAATTAAGTCCGTGTGCTTGTCTCCTGATGGATATCATTTTCGAAATAAGTCTCTTTGTATAGTGTGGTTCATCATCCAATATTCTGACGTTATCCCAATCAAATTCATGATCCTCATGCAACCGGTGCTCCGTTTATACGACGCTGCAAGTGGACGTGTTCCATCTGATATGATTCCTATGTTCCGCAATTCTCGACTTTAGTTGTCTGCACGTTTGTCCCACATAACTTGCATCGCAATTCTTACAAGAAATTTTATAAGCAACTCCTGACTTCTTTTCACGCGGCAAGAGATATTTATGCACTCTAATAAATTCAAGCAATTTAAGAATTATTGTACGTTTCAATTATAATTATATATTTATAATTCCATTCCTCACGGATATGTCTATATACTTATACTATAGATCGCTAACTTGGGCTTTAGCCAATAGTAGATAAAAGGCTAGAAAATAGTCGCACCCGCTGTTTTATAAATTACTTTAAAGCATTTAAAGTAAGAGAGAGTTAAAAATTATTTTGTATAATAGAAATAAGTAATAATACAATATTATTAATATAATAATGTACAACAACAAAATTCATGCATTTAAAGATAAAATTGAAAAAAATTATCGAGCAGAATAATTATAGAACAGAAAATCTTATTTTAAACTCAGTTTTAAAATATATATAAATAATTAACACTTAGAATAAAATCACATTTAATTTTTTAAGAAATTAGTTATAATTATTACAATCTACATTTTAATTCACGCGGGCGAAATAATGCGTTTGAAATCACAATTTGATTAAGGGGACGTTATTTCAGATTATTAGAGTTGCGTTTCAAAACCGACAATAGTTCGACACGCAATTTGGGAGGACTTTTCAGATAGAGTTGCGTTTCAAGACCGACGATTGTTCGGCACGCAAGTTGGGGGGTGGGAGGGAAATACATATATTACTTTAGATAAATATTGCGAAGAATATTACTACGTCGACCCGCCATCAGAGGTCTATAGATATTCGCAAATTTCTCGCAAGTGCTTTGATACGCGTATATCTCTTTATATACAATATTTAAAATCTCAACTAGATACAGGCGTATAAGGTAGATTTCCATTACAATACCTTACTGATGAGTCCAGTAGTGGAAGCCGGGACAAAACGCCAACATTACGTGATATTCTTCGCAATATATTAGAGTAAATTAAAGATTTTAACGAATTTATTGGCTCGTAGCCCTGTTTCTCTTTATTAGTTTTAGTTATAATTATTATTTATTTATTATATTATTTCTTATTAATTAATTATTAATTAATTAATTTATTTATTAAAAAAAAATGGTTAATAATCGTGCTGCGCGCCTTTGCAGCTTGTAATGGCGCGGCCTTGCGATTGTTGCCCAAGCGTTTCCCGCGGTAATCACTTCGAAGGAGCTTGGTCGAGAAATGAAGTTTTCTCTGATTTAAAGCACTTTACTAAGTGAGCCTCCAGTGCAGGCAAAGAATTATACACAAAACACTGCCGAATTACGGTTGACGGCGCGATAACAAGAAGGATCGTCAGCAAACGAGACGGTGCGCGTGCTATAGTCGAGAGCGGCCATTGATTTCTGGTCGTTGATCGAAGAATATGCGCGGTACGCTAGTGCGCAGCAGATCGATCCATTCGGTCGATTTCGTGAACCGTCGTTATAACGGAAGGGGAATTAAAGACGAGTACTGAACAAAAATTATATAAAATATAGGGTCGTTTTCGACATCTCATTGGCTACAACATAAAGATTAAATGTATTTCAACCTATTTAACAAATATATACGATAGAAGCACAGATATCATTATCTTCCTTTGTTACCGTCATGTTGCTCTTACGTTATCGAAAATGAATGATAAATCAAAAAAATTTCCATGAATGAAATCAATCTGTTGACAACAAAATGAGCAACAGTTGTTCACCGTTTGCTCTGAATCTGCTGTCATTAAACGTTTCAAATCTGCCCTCGTGTTGTTGAGTACGTATGATTATAAGTATATTACGTTTTCAGTAAATATACAGCAATTAATCGAAATTTTGTGCACAGCATTAAATTGTATGATTTTGCAAAACATGCTTGGTTATCAGGGATATCGCGCAGGCGAGGTGTTTGCAATTGCCTTCGAAATCTTGAAGAGCGGGTTGCGTCGCATCTCGTATTCTGAGATCGCAGCCAAATATAGTAATTAACGAAATACAGATACTTACCGTTGGAGAAAATATTACAATTCTAGATGCAGAACAGCCTTAGAGGATCAGCAGCAGAAGATACCAGCAGGAACATAATGGATCCACCCACGACCTACAAGGAAAAGAAGAAAATTAGTTTTAAGAATTGATATTGATATTATTATATTAAAGTTAGAAAAAGGATTATTATATATTTTATAAAGTCATAGATAATATAAAGAGATAAAAGACTAAAGTACAAATACATTATAGAAAAATGTTTTGATAAAAGCTTTATTTATAATGAAGTTAAATATAAAAGATTTTTGATAGTGTTCTACATATTATATTTGAGAAATATATATTTTAATATTTTTTGACACATTTGATATGTTCTTAACATTAATGATAAAAATAATGACCTGTTATGGGCCTTCTACAATAAGCCATAAGTCATAAATCGGAAGTAAGAAACTAAAAATTGACGACTGTGATTGGTCCATTTCTATCTTATGACTTATGATTTGTGACTTACGGCTTATTGTAGAAGGCCCATTATGCTTCAGGTCTTAATCCCTGGATCCTAAAATTCAACCAATAAAGCTGCCAGTTCTAACCGAAATTTGAACTCTATTGGCTGAATTTTAGGATTAAAGACCTTAAGATCGAAGTATAAACCAGGCATTAACATGGGTTGTATATGGAGCCCATATATGTAATACTACTATATGGCTAGTGCCTATAAGAGAGAGTGAGAGGAAGCGGTCCCAGAACCACGGTGCGGGAATATATATTTCCCTCTCTTTCTAAGAGTACTTTGAGTGTTGTTCGCATGCGTTGGATTGATTGCATCCGCCAATAGGAAAATAGAGTGCGATCAGTGAGATGACGCGAACAGGTTATGCTCGTTATGCTTATTAGATGTGTGCTGTTGTACACAGGCAAAAATGGTCAAGATATGTTATTTATGTGGCAAAAAGCCTAATGCGCCTAATGCGACTGAAAACATTAGTTTGCATAGGTATGAAATAGGTATTAGTTTGCACTGATTATCATGAAATTTCTGTAAGGGATTGCACTGTATTCTTATATACATAACGGCAATCTTGAAAAAGTTTATTTCATAAAATTAGGATTAATTTATTTATTCCGACTAAACTGACTCTGTTAACTGTAACAAGGTTATACCCTGAAGCGGAATCAATCACTTTTTCCTTCTTCCTTACACATATATGTATATTTATCCTTCTATTTATTATTGATGGAGGGGATGATCCGACGCATGCGCACAACGTTCAAAGTACGCTGAGAAAGAGAGAGAAGTATATTCCCGCACCGTGGTTCTGGGACATGGACTTCTCTCTCATCTAGCCATATAGTAGTATTACATATATGATGGAGCCTTCCATTCTTCTTCTCCCTGTTCTTAGAGTCCTAGATATCAGAGAAGCGCAACCGGCTTAAGTCAGTATCGCAAAATTACTAAGAAAAGTATTAAAAATGGCGTCTTTTGCAGACGAAATATGAAATCCACCAATCGTCTATTAGTCAGCCATTTTTAATACCACTGAATGAATGTCATGATTGGCTGACAGTCAGCTAATCAGGACGCGGAACATCGGTTGCGCTTCTCTGATATCTAGGACTCTACCTGTTCTTTGGTGTCTAGCGAAACTTCTATCGGCCGCCACTAGGAGCGTCACAGAGAAATTTTTGCATCGAAAATCCAGCAGGAAAACAAGCACCGTGTGTGCCGCATTTAAATTGCGTAGAAACAATGGATAACCAAAGTGCGAATAGTGATTCGAGTAATAAACGCGATAGAGAACGCGAACTGATAGATATAATAGAAAATAGAGCTAAGAAACGCAAAAATAATGAATCGCGAGAAGGGAGGATCCAGATGATGGAAGATTTCATAAACAACATGAGTTCGGATACTTCGGATTCCGAGACGGACGACGAACAAGAAAGACCGGAAGATCGGATGAAGACAGCAATCCAAAAATATATTGCGGCGGATAAAAGAACAAAAAGTACATACGTAAAAAAGGTAATGAGCAATCATCGAGGCGAACCCATATGTCAAATATACTCAATGATTCAAGTAAAGGATCTGAGTTCGAATGAAAAAGCGACCAAGCGACCGAACTACAGAGTGACGATAGATGTCATGGACAATAATATAAAACATTATATTAGTGAACTTACAACCGAACATGCACAGATTTTGGATCAATCAAATAGACGGTCCACTATGTTTTTTAAAGAAATACAATCAACCAAACCGATAGTAGACACAACGAAGGTATCGACTCAATCGGTAGTAAAAGTGCCGGAACCACAACAAAAAGTACAAACAATTGCACCCAGTGCATCAACCAATACTACTGACGACATTACGGGTAGTGCTGAATCCATTAGCGAAACAAATACCAGAGCAATCAATCCAACAACAACAGGCCATATTCCCGGAAACCTCCCAGGAGTCGTCCCTTTTTTTTAATCAGATTGTATTAAGGTAAATTTGCTCTATCTCCCACTGCGTGAAAGATATCGCAGGCGAAGTGTTTGCAACCGCCTTTGAAATCTCAAAGAGCAGGTTGCGTCACATTTCGTATTCTGAGATCGCAGTCAAATATAATAATTAACCTGAAATACAGATACTTACCGTTGGAGAAAATATCACAATTCCAGGTGCAGAAGGAACAGCCTTGGAGGGTCAGGAGCAGGGGATACCAGCAGGAACGATAATGGATTCACCGACGATCTAGAAAGAAAAGAAGAAAATTAGTTTTAAGAATTGAGAGATATTGATATTTTTATATTAAAGTTAGAAAAAGGATTATTATATATTCTATAAAGTTTAAGGCCCGTATTAGAACTTACTTTTATCGATAAAAGCGCGCTTTTATCTCTGAAATTCTGTAGTATACGTGACGTAAACTATAGCATGTTAGCGCGTTTTGAATACGGGCCTAAAATTTTAAATATAAAGTCGTAGATAATATAAAGACTAAAGAGATAAAAGACTAAAGTACAAATACATTATAGAAAGATGTTTTGATAAAAGCTTTATTTATAATGAAGTTAAATATAAAAGATTTTTGATAGTGTTTTACATATTATATTTGAGGAATATATATATATATTTTAATATTTCGACACATTTGACATGTACACTTATTTCCACTCGTATAGTTTAGATAAAATAAAATAAATATCGCGGTTACTGAAATAAGATATAGGCCGGTATTCATAGTCGGTTCTTACAGGGAGAAACCTCTTTGGCCGGTATTCATAATCTGTTCTTATTTCAAGAGTGTCTTAAGACGCGAATGCAGCCATTTGATTGATTCGTGACATCTTAATGCCTGGTTTATGCTTCAGGCTTAATCCCAAGATCCTAAAATTCAACCAATAAAGCTGCCAGTTCTAACCGAAATTTGAACTCTATTGGTTGAATTTTAGGATTAAGACCTTAAGATCGAAACATAAACCAGGCATAAGACTGTACTTAAGGGGATCCTAAAGCAGGTCTGTATTACCGACAAAATCGTACAATTTTTGTATCGTAAACACTTTTTTTGTCATTCACAGATTCGAAAATCCTTTTACAGAATTAAAGTATACGCATTAATACGTATCTATGAGATAGAATCTATGCTGAAAACGATAAAAAATTTCAAAATTGATTTCTTCTTTACCATTTTTTAGTCCAATATGGCGCTTCAGAGCTGTCACATCGTTGCACGTCGTAATAACATTTGTTTTATATAAAAGCTGCGCAATCTGTATGTACATACACCCACGGTAATTAATTCTGTCCCTCGGAAATTTTCACAAAATGAAAAGTGACTTCCTTTCTATATTAATTGTCATGCACGATAAGGTTCAAGCGGGGAGCACAGACTTTTGCATAACGCATAAAGCATGTGCATAAGGAATTTCATTGGTCCATTTTCTTATGCATGAGTCAATGGACCAATCAAATTCTTTATGTATATGGTTTATGCGTTATGCAAAAGTCTGTGCTCCCCGCTTCAGTCGTAACGTTAATCGTGCATGGATTGTGACAATTAATATAGAAAGGTGGTCATTTTTTATTTTGTGAAATTTTCCGAGGGACAGAATTAATTACCGTGGGTGTACTTAAGAAATAGTAGTCCACAGATACGTAGTTTGCATGAAGAAACAGCGTGGAGTGCTTAGGGTGCGGTCGAGTTGCCACTACGAATGCTTCGAAGCGTTTGATTAACCAATCAGAAGAAAGAATTTTACAAATTAATCAATCAAGAAACGCTTCGAAGTATTGGTAGTGGTAACTCGACCGCACCCTTAGAATTAGATTTAGGTCGGTATTCATAGTCAGTTCTTATATTCAAGACCATCTTATACCTGGTTTATGCTTCGGTCTTAAGGTCTTAATCCTAAAATTCAGCCAATAGAGTTCAAATTTCGGTTAGAACTGGCAGCTTTATTGGTTGAATTTTAGGATCTTGGGATTAAGACCTGAAGCATAAACCAGGCATTAAGTTCAGTCTTAAGATGTCACGAACCAATCAAATGGCTGCATTCGCGTCTTAAGACATTACTTAAGACAGTCTTCAAATAAGAACTGACTATGAATACCGGCCTTAGACACTTTATCGCGACGAATTTACGATACGAAAATTGACAGATAATGTGACTGCGTGCATCACTGTCTGCGTGAGATGTAGGGTGCGGTCGAGTTGCCACTACGAATGCTTCGAAGCGTTTGATTATCCAATCAGTAGAAAGAATTTTACAAATTAACCAATCATGAAATGCTTCGAAGTATTCGTAGTGGCAACTCGACCGTAGTGACCCTCTAATAAGAGTCTGGACACGTGAAGTCCGCCATTATTCGTCGAAATTGTGCGAGAGAGAAAAAATCATGCTATCTCATTCTAGTGGCGCTGTAAGTTGTAGCTGATTGTAGCTCTACAAACTTCATAGTTTCTGTTTCTGTTTCGTCTCGCCTCATGCATCGTATCATTTTTAAGACCAGGACCATTAATATTCGAAGAAGAAGAAGAATCATTATGATTAATATTATTATATTA